TACCTTGAATAAGAAAAGAAAGTGCGCACAGTACACTATGAATTTTACAAATACACTATGTCCTACACAAAGCTATTCTTTTCTTTGCGTAACAAATGTCCATTTGCGCTTTTAACTCATTGACAGTAGCACTTTCGAATTTTAAACAACTTTTCATGTTTGGTATATATGAATATTGAAGAAAACGACATTAAATATTGTTTTTTGTTTTTTGAGTAGTTGTTTTGAAATTGTTGAACATTAAATAAGTATATACGAGTAAGAGTTTTGCGATTATCGTTACGCGAGTCTTTTTTTTACTTTTTCTCTATGAATATGTATTATACATAGTTCATTTCATCTAGCTTTATTTATATAACCTTGAAATGAAAAAAATTCAAACAGAATATTAAATTGATTTTATTCAATATTCCTTTTGTTTTCTAGATCGTGCGCACGCTGTACACTTTGTCGAAAATTTCAGAGTGCGCGAAAAATTATAATGTAAAACAGAGTGCGGATTGCTCACTCTACTGGAAATTCTCATTAGAAACACTGATGATGTTATTGTTGTTCATAAGGATATATCTGCTTGAGTTTAATCGAACATCGAGCACGGAATATCATTTAGTTATTTTACCTAATGGAGAAAAACTTCAAACAAACTAATGTTTCGATTTGTGGATGCAATCTATTCCTTCCAGTTGGAGCTAAGGTACATACACCATTGTTTGAGGAACTTTATATCCAATCGCATAATAGTCCTATAATGTTCGTTAGTTTCATAGAATTTGTTTATGCTTCCAATTATCAATTTCTTCATTAAACAAGATAAATTTATTTTCAATATTAGAAAAACGGTTTTTTTGATTAAAAAATTCAACGACAGAGGTCACTACATCTAAAGCTATAAAATGAATGTCTTGCCGTATTTTTATTCTGATGACTACTGGGAAGAATCCATGTACTGACTTAATAAAAAAAATTTTCTATTTTGTAATAAGAAAAAGAAATCTAAATCTGTTTTAGAACGGCACGGGTATCAACAATGAACAATAACGCCACATTTCCATCAGTTTCCTTCCATCGAAAGACATTCGGACAAAATATTCTAATAAATGATAATGCATTTAAAGCCACTCGACATACATCATTTGATAATGGTTATTTCTATTTCTATTTCAATTTAATCATTTTACTTTTGTTTTCAGATATTACATTTACAAATAAACGAATTAATATAAATGAACGTATTTATATGAAAATTATTGATATTGATCAAACTGGTCAATGGTTAGGTTCATTGGCTATTGATAATAAAAGAAATGAATTAATCTATAAAATTTTCAAATCACTATTTTAGGTTTTACTCAATTTGATCGAGATTCTATTCAACGTCATCAGTTATGTAAATCCGTATTAGCAAATCTTTGTCAAAAGACCGGAATATCTTATGTCGACGTACGCACATCAAGTCGCTGTTTTGCGTCGCGATGATCTCAAGAACGGAAAGTCAGAACACTTTCGTTGAAACGTGAAGTAAAAGAATCGAGACCGAACCCGCGAAATCTTTTATCAGATCATCGAAAAGACCCCGAGTTCTCTTAGAAACTGGGTTCCGAAAAGACAATTTTGAAGAATTTTAGCTTAGAGATAATTAAAACGAACAGCGAAAGAGAAGTTAGGCGCCATTTTTTTTTCTCTTAGAATATAAGACAGCTGTGCTACAGCTGATTATAGATAATGAATCATTGAGATAATTAATCGATAAATAAACAGCAGTTTCTAGAAGTCTGTCGATACGCTTTGTTAGAGTTTCTGTAGTGATGAATTTTATAATGGATGACTTTCATGTCGGATCTAGATTAAGTCAGCTGATCAATAAAAATGTTTGTTTTATCGATTATCCCTAACTTAGAAACGTCTTCAATTATCTTTAAATGTTGACGCAGAATGTGAGAACGAATTCCGATGATATTTAGAGCGACTATTGAATTTCGATTCGAAATTCGTTTTTTCGAAAATTCGAGAGATTCGTGCTTCGCACCGCATTTCGTATTCGAGTCGAAACTCGAATACCATCTAGTCTTTCATTAAGTTTGACTTAATTGAGTTACGAATAATTTACAAATAAGAATAAGTATTCTAAAATTCTCATTTATTTCAAATAGGACATTGGTGATCAACTTAGATCAATGGCATCAACAATTGATGAATACAAAGCTATTGGTTTATCATTAATAAATGTTGCTCAACGATATATTGATACTGATCTTATTCAAAATGAGATCAATTCTATTGGTAAATAGTTTATATATATATATCAAATAAAATATCTTCTATTTATGTTTTATTTAGATAATACGTGGTCTGAATATGTTGAATATATTTTTGATACACTTGATTATATTCAATTACATCAAGAAGATTTACATGAATTTTATCAATTAGCTAATAATTTATTAGTTTTACTTAATGAAAAACAGATACAATTGGAAACAATTAAAGATGATGAATTGAAAAATTTTCGTGATGAAATTGAAAATCTTAATGAACAAATTGAATTATTATATCAGAAAGGTGAACTTTTATTACAAATTTCAGCTACTGATTCAAATGATAATCAAGTTGCACGTTTATTAGAAACAATTAATCGAAATTATGATAATTTAACTATCAAACTGAAAGTTACCTTGAATAAAATGAATGACATACATCAATCAACTACAACAACAGTAACGGCAACAACAGATAATGTATGAATAATAGAATAAAAACAACCGAAAAAAAAACAAACAAACATCATTTAATTTCTTTAGATTCCATCAATATCATCACATCAAATCATCGATGAAATTCATCATCATATGAATGAAATAGATTTAGCTATGAATGAATTATCGGAATTATTAGTTTCAGCAACAGATGATGCAATATCAGCTCAACCAATTAAATTAAGTGAACAATTACTTGATAGTGCTGTTGTTCACAATGAATTAGATAAACGAAAAGATGCTCTTGAACAATTATCTTCAAATATACAAACATTTAAACAAATGGTAACGAATACAGAAGATATGGATTCAGTCACAGGTGAGATTATTTAATGTTTGTTGGTTTTTATGTCAAATAGTTTAAGAATTTTGATTAAAAAATTGGAAAAAGAATAACTTACTACCTGACTGACATTATCTTAAATTATTCCTAAATCTCTGGAATATATTGTCAAATAATCAGAAATTAACTATAATACTTCAAGTTAGAGAATATTTTCTCTAGAGAAAAATTTCAATTTGTTCTATTTTCGCAAAATTATCAATTTCTGAAATTCAATATTTCGGAGATGTAGTGAAATGTTCCATTTTGACTAGTCCATAATTCACTGTATTTACTATAAAGAAAGTATGTCTTTTTAATCTTTAATAACAGAATTGAAATATTTCAAACTTATTGATTTTAAACTAAATAAAAGTGTTGTCGTGCTACAAATAAAAAAAGGATGTCTATCCTTAATAAGCAATCGGAGAATGATTCAATGAACCGTTTGATTTCATTAGAGATTGAGAGAATATTCCTATCTTAGTCAGCATATTATTGGACAGGTGATTACGACAACTTGTATCTATTTTTGCTTCTAGCTTTTTAATCTGATAAATACTATCTACTAAAGATATTTTTTCTCATTGAAATAAAAACGATTAGAACGCATGTTTATCTCTACTAGTAAGGATAAAATCTACAATAGTATCATAAACCTGAATAATGTAGAATTTGATTTCATCGCTGGAATCTGTCTTCTACATAATCATAATACTATAAAACATGATTGATCATTGTCATCAATAAAAAGAAAAAGAAAAGAAACTGAATAAAAAATAAATTATGCATAGTGCCGTTTTCCTCTACCTATAAGAAAATAGAAAAAAAGTCATTCTCTACAACAGCTCTACTATTTTTTTAATTTTTAGTTCTGGATGAAAAACTTGCTCTATTAAATCAACATTTGTTAATAATGAAACAAACAAATGATTTACGTCAAGAAAATCTTCTATTAACTCAAGTATGTGCTAATAAATTTTGGTCAGAATATAATGAACTTTCAACTATTCTTAATAATATTGCTCAACAATTATCACAAATTCGTCCACGTTCAACATCACGTCATTATCTTGAAAATGAACAAGAAAAATATAATCAATTAGTAAAAGATTTTTCAAATAATGAAATTAAATATCAAGAAATTCTTCAAACATATAGTGTACAATTATTAACATTAATATCAGATAATCAACAAGAAACAGATGATATTCATCGTTATCTATATGAATTAGAACAACAATGGAATCGTATACAAACAGATTTAAATACATGTCAACAAGAATTAACACAATCATTGATTAAATCTGATGAATTAAATGCTAAATTAGAAAATGTATCAACATGGTTTGATGATAAATCATCATTTACAACAAATAATGAATTAGAACATATTCGAACATTTAAAGAACATTTAGATAATAAATATATTGATATTATTAATTTAAAACAAGATTATACTGATATTGAAGAACCAAATGAATATGTTGTAGAAGAAAAACCAAATCTTGTTGAAGAACAATTCGTAGAAATTGATTCTAAATGGTCTCACTTAAAAGATAAAATACAAGAGCAGTAAGTCAAAAAATTCTATTCATTGACGGCTACATAAAATCTATGACATTATTTGTTTTTCGATGTATTCGAACTACCAAGAAAATATTTTTTCATATTCTAACTCATAACACAATTTTCTTTAGTGTGCATCTGAGATTAAATTAGAATAGTTCATCGGATCCTATTCATGATGATAATAGATGTTTAGGAAATTAGTTTATGTGGGTGAAAACTTTGAATTTTTCGAAAATCGAAATTTACTATAGCCTTACTGGACGAACTCTACGAGTAGGATAACCTTTATCAAGAACATCTGAAAGAAAACTGAAAAATCTTTTACAAAGAGTATTATCGGCAGTATTTAAATCAGTAAAAAAAGAATTCGAAAAACATCATATGACTTGTAGTTTAATTTAAAAAAAAATAAAGTTCAACACAATGTTTATTTCTTTTAGGAAAACTCTTATTTATGAAACTGCTCTTCGTCAGAATCGTATTGGTGATGTTATTGCTGATATAAATCAATCGTTAGATGCTTGTACAATAAAACTATCTGTTTTAACTGATAATTCTTCTGATATTAATCTTACTGATATAAAACAGATTGAAATCTTCATTGCAAAATTTCGTATACTTTTAAATGATATTGAATTAATATCATTTGATATTGAACAATTAAGACAAAGTAATTATGAAGATAAAAATACTGTTTTATTAATAAATAATCGTTGGGAAGAATTACTTAAACAAGCAAATGAAAAATATAATTTATTAGAAAATAAATTACATGATATGAAATTTAAACAAAAATTATTTGATCAAATTTATCATGAACTTAATTTAATTGATAAACAAGTTCATGAAAGTACAATACATACAAAATTTTCTTTAATTATCGAACGTTTAGAATATATTGAAGAACAAATCAATAAACAATTTATTGATGATAATAATGAACAAATCAAAGATTTAAAAAGTAAATAATAACAAAAAAAAAAGAATCAATTTCTTTATTTTGTTTTTTTTTAAGAACATTTAATCGATATTAAACAACGAACATTAACAAAGGGTCAAGAACTTCTTGAATTAACACATTTTATTGAACTTTTTCATGCATCATTAAAAACATTCACTGATTATTTAACTGAAAGTGAACGTTATTTAAATACACAAAAACCAGTTCAACGTCGTTTTGCTTTATTTCAAGCATTATTAAAACAAGTTGATGAACATAAAGCATTTCAAAATCAATTAGAAATATATAAACAACATTTTATTGATTTAGATAAATTAGCAATACATTTAAAATATGTTTTACCTAAAAATGATTCTATTTATATAAGAAATTCTTTAACATCAGTTCAAACACGATGGCAAAATATTCTTACACGTACAAATGAAAGAATGAAAGAATTAGAAAAAGCTGTTCAAGCAGCACAAAAAGTAATTGATTAATTTGAAACCAATAAGTGATTACTTTTCTATTTTTTGCTATTTTATTATTCTTAAATAGATGATTCGACCGGTCGTAGCAGATATTGATAGAATTAAAAGTGAAGTGAATCGACAAACATCTCTTTGTCAATGTTCAAAAAAATATGACGTACAACAAATAGCTGAAGGACGATATCGAGTAAATTATACGAAAACAAAAAGATGATCTTATTTTCAAATAAAATAAATATATATTATTTAGTTTGGTGAATCACAAAGTCTTCGTCTTGTTCGTATACTTCGTTCAACAGTTATGGTTCGTGTTGGTGGTGGTTGGACAGCACTTGATGAATTTCTTGTTCGACATGATCCATGTCGAGGTAATAGAAATATAATCATTTTAATTACACATTTTCATAAAGAATTATTTTTTTGAATCACTTTTTTCTGAACACAAATGATCAGACTGTAACAATATCTAGGCTTATAAGGCAGATCTTGAAATATATTTCTTTTTTATGAACATTTTTTATTCTGAAATAATTTTAAAAAAATCTATATTATATACAGGAATGCATGTTTATAGTCGATTTTTGGCGACTGTTGCTGCAGGTACCTTGATCTATTCATCTTCGTATAATTATATGTGCTTTATTTTGTTTTGCTTCTTTGTATAATCACGTACTGCTGGGTGTTTATAAAATCTGGCAGAATATTTATCACATGATTATAGGTGTTATCATAGGTGGCGGAACATTTTTGAATTTAAACGAACCACATTCACTACTTTTTATTTCTATCTCACATTTTGCATTGTGGAAAGTAATAAATTCAACATTTTCTGAAGAATATTTCTAAGTATCAAATCGTTTTTGAATCAGTACTATAGTCATTATGTAAGTGTCCCGCGATTTCCTTAGGAACACTAAGAAAACTGAATTCCGACTTGGAATTTTCCATAGAGACAGATCTTATTGAGAATAATTTATGGTAAAAGTATGCACTGCTCATATATAGTGATGGACTAAAATTTAGAGTAGTAGTATTTTTGAGTTATCGTTTGAGTAGCTGAAAGGCTTCTCGCTCAAGATTCTTCGATCGGAAAATTTCAACAGAACTGTTTTGAGGAGAAATTCTGCAAAGCCAAAATTACCCCAAAACCAGTTTTTCTGGTGTCTCTGTATAGCTCCGCTGCCTATAGGTATTTTATTGTTTAGTAATATGTTGTCAATTTTTGTTTGTGTATTTCTTCTGTTTTTTTTACATATTAATTTTTTTTTCTTTTAGCTAAAGGTCGTACTAATTACGAATTACATCCAGAAAGTTATGCTTTACGTGATGGTGTTGCTCAAACCATGACATTTTTTAAACCAAGACTTGTTACTGTTCATCAACCAACATGTCTTTTTCATCAACAACAACAATCAACTGGCTCATTAAAACAATCATCAGCTATTACACCTATTCCAGTAAATATAAATTTTATTTTTTGTATGCATCATTCTTTTTTCTATTCCTTTTTAAAGCCTGTAAAAGATAAATCTAGCCGAACACCATCAACAACATCTTTAACACAACAACAACAAAATTCATCATCAAATGGTGATTTATCCATATCAGGTGAAGATCCTTCAGTATCGCAACACATTCAAAGTAAGCAATTTATATTTAAAATTTTTTTTCAAATTCAATCCTTAATTAGGTGATTCAGAAACAAAACCATCCTTAATACCGATACCAATTCCAATGTATACACCTTCAGCATCAACATTAAGTCGAGCATCAAGTCGTGAAAGTGTTCTTTCTGAACATTCATGTACATCAACATCTTCAACACAACAACGGCGACCAAGTAAACTTCCATTGCCAATATCTCGATATAAAAAGGCAACGAATGTAACGACACCGGTCAAAAATTCCTAGAAAGACATTTTATCGCAGTTTTTATATATATTTATTCTATTTTCTTTTTATGTTCCTAGTCAAGATTTTATTCATGTTTTAAATCTCTTTTATGGGTGCTCTAAGTAGTACTCGGGTCAATTGTTTTTTTTTTCTTTCTTATATGATATAGCATTCTGTTTGGTTGTTTTTATTTAGCTAAATACTAACTAAACCCTTTCCAACAATAGAAGAATTTGAGTCTTCCAGTATGTCGAAACTTTTCAGTGGAGGAAATAATGCTCATTTAGTTTTTGAAGGTTTTTCAGCGGGGAATCGTGAGAATGAAGTTTATATTTGATGTAAATATACTGATTTAGACAAAAGTTAATTGAGAAGAGTTTTCTATTTTATTCGGCTAATTGATCTTCTATTGCAGGAAAGGGTTTACATTGGCTTTTGTTTTGATTATTTCTTTTATTCTGTTTCATTTGCTTATTGTAATGCTGTTGGATCTCGTTTTTGTTATTTTCAAAAAATTACTAACAACTAAGCTGTTAATGCAGACTTACATTTATAATGCCTACAATCTTTATCTTAATGGGAGTATTTTAATAGAATTATTCATTTAACTGAATTCATAATTTGATATATGAACAACAAAATGCAAGAAATTTCGATTTCTATTCCCTGTTTATTTGACACAGAAGTTCAAGTCACTAGATAATATAACTGTCGAGTTTCTTTTGCAGGTCATGTCTACTAGAACAATTTAGTGATCTGGTTGTCTCTAATTATTTGCTGGTGAGACAAATTCACGAGAATAAAAACAGACACTTTTGCAAATATTTGTCATTACTAGGAAATTGAGTACTTGAAATGTCGTCTTAGTTAGACGAGCTTAAATCGATTGTGTTGTATGATCTACTAATGAATAGATTATGGTCATTTTAATGAAATTTTTGCTGAAAACAAGATATTTCAGAAACATTCAAAACGAAACATATTGAGCTAACATTTTGCCTCTAGACGTGTTTGATAGCCGTTAGCTAGTCCTGAAAGGGTGTAAGTGTGGGTTTTCTCTTCGCCAACGCCAAAGATTCACATTCACAGCTTTACATATTAGCGATAGTACGTGAGTGAGCATCAAGAACCATTAAGAGAAACGAAATGGATGTAATGTTATGAACAGTTCTTATTTATTCAAACTTTTCAACTCGATAGAAGTCTAGAGACAGCAGGTTGCAAAAAGCTCTTGATGATATGCATATGCAGTCGCATTGAAAGAAAGAAAAAACAAAAGCACAACTTTGAATTTCTTCAACACTCAATTGTTTACTCTTTCTTACTTTTCATAGTCACTCACTACATAGGCAAGAACGGAAGAAAAATAATGATGATAACAATAATCAAAATACATTAGTGTACATTTCTTTCGTTCATTGTTAATATATTTTTTTAGTTGATTTCTCTTGTTTGCCATAGTTGCATATTCAAAAAACACTCAGCACAATCATAATGTGGATGTAGGTGATAGAAGAACTACATTCACCCACACCCAAAAACACGTATGTAAACGCGCGATAATGGTTCCGTGTCCACGCATGTGTTGCTATAACCTTGCATGTGTGGGTGTGGGTGTGTGTGTGTGGTGTGGGTATGCGTGTTGGTGAGGTGTGGGTGGGTAAGCGCGGGAGTCGGAATGTTGTCTTCATCCACACCCATACCCACACCCACACCCACCCACGCCCACACCCACCCACACCCACCCACACCCACACCCACTCCCACCCACACCCACACCACACCACACCCACACCCACACCCACACCACACCCACACCACACCCACACCCACACACCCACACCCACACACCCACACCCACCCCACCCACACCCACACCCCATAAATAACCGACGTACGGTTGCATTAGATAATCTATAAATTTTCGGATAGCGACGTAATAGTCGACGTTTGATATAATCAGCACAATCTGTAATGGAGAATCCATTAAAACGAACTTTGTCGTCTCTTCGGCGATCTTGTGCTTCTCCACTGTGTGTGTTTAATAATTTTTTTAACTCTGGAACTAATTCAGGATGTGTTCTATAATAAGATTTCCTACCAGATGGAACAGTTTTTATAGGAAAATCTTTTAAATCATTAATTATCTTGGCAGATTTTTCTTTTGTTTCAAATAATAACCATTTATAGCTTGGCATGATAAAAGGTTTAGATTAGTATAGTTTTGTTTATATGACTTCTTTCAGCGAAGCGTTATTGAACATATAGTGAACAAAAATACGTTTGTTGAATATTTTTTTGTTCTTTTAGTTACTTTTTTTGTCTCTAATAATGCTCTTTATGGAAAGAGAAATTTCTAAGTGTCATCATACCAATTAGTGTTACAATTGTTTATCTTAATTTTTTGAAAGGTTTGTATAAAACACATCTGTACAATGAAATGAACTACGTTCTTGTAATTTAATTTGTAAAGGCAATGTGTAATAAATCGTAGAAATGTAACACAAACAATAACAAGAAACAAATATATACAAGAAAAGGTTAAAACAAGAATGACGTTTCGTCAACAAGATACTCTCAATTTTCTTTTCACCTCTACGATTATATTTAAGCTAGTAAAGTATCTAGACATTTCATAGTCATCTACGTAGGTTTTTTTCTCTATTTTTTATTTTTCGTATTAAACGTCTGTTCCGTATTCTACATCTTAAAATTATTAAATTATCATAATTAACACGTACTATGTCTCAAGAAATAACTAAAGATCCGTTCGAATTTTGTGATTCACCATCACCAGCACCCAATGATGAATGCAATGATAATCAGATGAACAACAAACTGAATTTATTATTAGCAAAGATTGAACGAATTGATAAGAATGTTTTGAAGTTGAATCAATTAGTAGATATGTTAATATCAAAAGAAACAATAATGGAAATGACATTAAGTAGCATAAATACTGATTATATTCATACAAGAGAAATTGTTCATAAAACAGAAACATCATGCTCGAAAATATTGAATATTATTGAAGAGCGAGCATTATCATATGAACGAGCAATTGAAGATGCTGCAGAACAAATTCAAACAATTACAAAAAAGGTAATCAATGATATTGATGCATAAGGGCTAATGTAGATGAAACGAAAATTTTCAGCATTGTGAAACTTTCCCAGAGGCTTGCACTATAAGAGGATAGTGCTCTACTTGCTCGTGTACATAATATTCACTATCACACGCTCATATAAATCATGATGACAAAGATTCTTTTTTACCAGCTGACATTTTATTGCGTTTTTTTATCGTTTAGGTTTCTGATCGTAATTTTAATCAAACAGATCATATTGATGAAAATTGTACTAATTTAACAACAATGGTTGATAATGATAATATTTATCAGAACATCAACTTAAACAATGACGAATGTACTACAGTACGTGAAGAAATTTGAGAAGAAAATTACTTGATAGAATATCTTTTACTTCATTACAGGATGGAAACAATCTTTGCATAGGTACACAAAGTATCAATGATATGACTGATGGATTATTTGAATCAACTAATAAAAGAAAAACAAGCGGAGATAATCATTTATTAGATTTTGATAGTTCAATAATGCAGGTAAAGGGTGTGTGGATGGGTGTGGGTGTGGGTGTGGGTCGATGTGGGTGTGTGGGTGTGTGGGTGTGGGTGTGGGTGTGGGTTAAAGGAAACACCCACGCACACCCCACAACCAGCCACCCACCCACACCCACACCGACACCCACACCCACACCCACACCCTTATCTAAATATGAATAAAATACAAAAATATCACAGAAAAAGATTTTATACTTTCTTGCAGATCTAGTTTTCGTCATAATAAAATTGTTCGAGTCTATCAAAAAACAATATTTTCACAAATAACTCGATAGATTCTATCTAACTATTTAATTTTCCAACTAATACTTCATCGATTGAAAATTCATAAAAACGATCATTTGACTTACACAATATTTTTTGTATTTTATACATAACAAATAAAATGATCATCTATAAATGTTTCAATTGATGATCATTAATAAATTACGCCGAAAAAAAACAATAAACTAAGATTATGTAATGGTTAAGCAGGATATATTGAAAATTCATTTCTTTACATATGACATGCTGTCTAAACAAAATAGAAAATTCTTTACAAGTTATTTTTCATCGATATTTTCATGTAAAATAGCAATTGATACTTGGGTGGATGTGGGGTGTGAGTATATTTGTGACAGAAGAAAAGATACACATCCGCACCTGCATCCTCAAGATTAAATCGATATTCTAATGTGTGAGTGAATCGTAAATGAAGTTTAGAGAAAAAAAAAGTTTTTGTCTAGTTGTTTATAAGCTATCGAATGCTCGTCCGATCTGAATTGATACCTTTTTTCTTTTTCTTTTCTATCGTTGTTGAGGAAAATGATGTTGTTGTGCACAAGTTTATTTTCAATTGAAAAAGACACTGAGTATATATTAAGTAAAACACAGCGAGACAACTAGATGTTTTTTCTTTCAAAATAAAAAAAAAACAAACTTGAATAATATATTCTTTCGTCTCTTCTTGCCAATAATTGGTTGATCATTAGTATCATTCGATGATGAATCAATTCGATCTGATTCATCTATTGCTGCATTTCCATATTCTCAAATTATTTTACCATATTGTCTTACTGTTGTATAATGTTTATCTCCACATATTTTACTCATTGTTTCAGTTTTGTTATTTTCATTTTGATTTGATGATTATTGAATTTGTTTTTCAATAACATATCTTCCCGATGGTGTTGTTTCTCGTTTCATTGTTATAATTATAAAAGGTCTGTAGCTGAGAAACAGGAGAAAAGTCGATCGAAATCAACGAAGATGTTTTCAATTGGAAAAAATAAACCATTGAATATTCATTTTTTTTTTATTTAAATGTAAAGAAATCTATAAAAAAATGTATATCTTTCGACATTTATTATCTCTTAGCCTTATTAATGACTTAATTATATAGTGTAATGTTTGCATAACTAGATCATTATTAGTGAATATAATACATATCAATGTTGTTTACAGCATTTTCAACAGTCTGATAATGAATCAAAATTCTTTTTTCTCTTCATGTGAATAATCATTTCTTGTAAATTGAATCAATTGTTTTGAATTTCAATATGCTTAGTAAAGTTGAGCAAGAAAAAGCTGCCGGTATGAATATTGAATAGATGCGTGTAGGTTACCAATTGAGTGAATCAATCAAGATATTGCAAAGGTCAAATATCAAATGAAATCATGTCGCTAAAATTTCTGAAACGATTATAAAGTACTCAGTTGCATTGATATCGTTTCATAAATTGAGATTATTTATTCATACATTATCATAGAATTTCAGTGGCTACTGAAGTGAACTTATGATAAGTTACTTTTTCAAAATGATAAATATATGCAATAAAAGTTAATAATAATGATAATAGAATTAGAATTCCAATTTCAGTTGCTTTTGTAACTCGACATAATTGTCCTATAAATTCCGATAAATGGGCTGCACCGGATAATGGATTTTCACTAAACAAGAATTAAAGATTACTTTAAATAAAATTCGATTTCATTTTTAAATTTCTTACCGATAAATGTGGTACATTGGATGCTGCACAAATATTAAATGGATTATATTCATCATCACTGTTGGAGTTAAAATTAGGGTAGTTATAACTCGAGTTATAACTTTTGAATTATAACTGTTCAACTTTCCGAAGAAGGTGTTTTAACCACTACAAAGTTGGGAGTTAAAAGTCAAAAGTTATAACTCGAGTTATAACTTTTGAGTTATAACTGATCAACTTTTTGAAAAATAGTTTTAACTCCAACAGTGTTCATCATAATTTAATGGATGTTCATCAATTGGATTCTTTTCCCGTACACTTAATATTTTCTGTGTCTAAACAAAATCATAATAAAGTTTTTATTTGTTTTTTGTCCGACTTCTAAAGTAATTGAACGAAAATTATGTTTCATTTAACAAAGAATAAACTCAATTGTATCAAATAAATCAAAACAACATGAACAACGTCGATCAACAGATATGACATATCTTTGAGTGCATTAAAGATAGCTATGTTTTTTTAAAGATTTCTTTACCAGTAGACCTGAGAAATTAATTCACAATGCTTGATTAAGTGCAAATTTTAATATCATGATTTTATGTATTGATTGTAATTGTAAATGAGTAAAATCAGTAGCTAATTCACATGAACCTTTTTCATTATCTTTTGCTAAATCTTCTTTTGCCATTGACATTTGTAAATCAACAATATTTTCTTTACATATTTCAATTCATTGTTGACCTTGAAATTTTTCATTTTTTGTTAAACGATAAGCGATTTGACAACGTCCAACTAATTTTTCTCATTTAAACCCAACTGCTAGATAACATAATTTTGGTGAACGTGCATCACGCCTTAATAATTAAAATAAAAATTTAAAAATATTTATTAAATAAACCAATAATTTATATATTTGAATAAAAACATACAAGACCAGGTGGTAATTCAATTTCAGTATCACCCCAACCTTCATCTTGATTATTATTAAGATTTTCTCTATTAAAATCATTGTCATCACTTTCAATTGGTAGTTCATCATCAGCCCAATCTCAACCACTTGTTGCTGTTTCATCAATATGAAGATTTAAAGCAAATTTTGCTGTTATGTTTGATATTAAATTTGCTTTGATTCTTGTTGACTTATTGAACATGGTGATAAAATTAATTTAGGATGTAGATTTATTTCAGATAACTAAAATAAAAAAAATTTTTATTTTGAATTACTAAATTTAACACGAGATTAATATTGATTAAATATATATCTATCTATTATTTCATATCTAACATATCAATTAAACAAAGAACAAATAATAATAACTTTGTTAAAATCTCAGTCTACCGACTTATTCCTTTTTTGAAACAGAATATGAAAAGTCTTCTTAGTCTATTTTTAATTTACATTCTAATGAATATCAATCAGAGAAAATAAACTAAACTAGCTATGACATGGTGATTATTTGAAATGTCTTTTAAAAAAACATGTTACCATTCAATGTCGCAATAAACTTCGAGAATCATCATAAACTTCTCTATACAACAGTACAGAAAACTCTTTAGATAAATGATATGCCCAACCGACCATCCGATAGGCATTTCGACCCCTCGATTTTCCACCGTCGATGTCTTCTAAGATACCCATCGCCGAGCCCTCGACCCATCGGAAAATGGCAAACCCAGGGGTCGATTTGAAATTCCGATGGGCAGACCTCGTGCCCCAGATAGCACCACGATACATATTACGAAAATTTCGATCCTATGCTTCTGCTAACTATCAAGTTACTCACCATCTAGCCTTGGACCCATCGAAATTTCAAATCGACCCCTGGATTTGCCATTTTCCGATGGGTCGAGGGCTCGGCGCACCCCTCGCACGTCTTTTTTAGCTCACTTGGGTGTTGAATACAATTAAAGATTGTTTAAAAATTATTTCATATCTCAAATAAACTGGTATATTTACATGGAAACGTAAAACTACTTTTCAAGACTTTCAATTGAAGATATTAGAAAACGAAAAAT